CTTTACTGCAGTAATAACCCAATAGGTCTTTATCTTGAGAAACTTCTTGATTATTTTACTAAGGCATAATTTTGGTCAACTTTCTCATTTTTCAGACTTTAATGGAATGTGCTCCCACAAATGTAATACCTGCTCTTCAGCTGCTATTCATTTTTCGTGTGCAGTCTCTGTTCCTAAAGTGACTTTAAGGCTCAGTAAATGGCATTGCAGCTACAAAAGTAATTGATTTGCAATGACGCTACCCTGTATTTTGCATCTTTCAATAAAAAGCCTCAAATTGCATATTCATGAAGGCATGATGCCAAATGGACAACACACACTGTTACCAAATAGACTTTTTTTTTGCATCTTTTTTCAAGTTTGCATGGGATGCTATACAAGCAAACCTTTAGTATATCAGGAACAGAGTTTTTCTTAATCAGAGCTTTAATACATAACTATTTTAGGAAGCTAAGACCCCTCAGCTATCCAAAGAACCCTTGAAGCACCCGTTTCTATGAGAGTATTAGACAGCATCCTTACATGTTTTGGCACTGTCAATGACATCACTATGTAATGACTTTAAATAGACATTTGTAACATCTTTATAATCTTGTCACATTTTTGCCTATTGGTGTTTTTGGCTCAGCTCTCCTCTTAACCCTGATTTCCGTGGCACACTATGTTGTTCAACCATAATTCAAATGGCAGATAATTCAATGGTCTTATCTCTGTGCGTGTAGAGATTGGTCCCAAACACATGAGGAGAGCAAATCAGAAATAAAAGACATTTTCTGGGGCACTTGAGCAAAAGAATTAGAATTTCTTTGTAGATAGTGTGATTACAGTAAAAGGTAATGAAGGGCAATGGTCTAATATTCTGTATGGAAGAGGTGAAATCTACAGTTGCTATTTTACTATATTGATATAGCACCAGTCATTTCTTTAAGTTTCATATTTACTCCCATCCACCCGAAACTCAGCAAAAGTTTCAGCAGAACAAAGGTTAAGTTTCAGGAATGAGCTCTGACACATCAATATCTTCAGCAGCCACAGTAACCAGTGAACAGTCTTCCCAGCTTCTCTTTCCACTCAGTCACAGGTAACTGTTGCAGAGCAAGTTACTCCAAAAGACAGCTGCAGTAGATGATTTGCCAAGACAGTTTTCAAAGTCATAGCATTATATATTTTTGGTAATGATGGCTTTACTTGAGAGAATTACTAGGATAATGGTGAAATAAAACACCCAAAGAGCACAATTTCTTTTTTTTTTTGTGTCAAGCCTTATGGCTCCATTAGAGAACATCACACTTACCATTACCCAGTTTGATGACATTTCCATCTCAGATTGCTGTCGGATCTGTTGTTTCACTGTTTTCATTGTTTCCCCATGAACAGGACTGTATATGTGTGTGTGCTATAGGTTTGCTTTCAGGAAAGTGGACACCAGTGAAATTGTCTGAATCTGGAAGTGATCTGAGATTGAGGTTCATATGTTTTTCTTGCCTGCTTGTGAGCTGTGTCTTGCAGCAGGGGGGAAATAAGATAAGAATAATAAGATAAGAAGATAAGAATGTGATGTCCATCCTCAGCATGGCATTGTTTAACCAAGCTGATTATTGACCAGTAAGACCTATGGAAACACAGCAAGCACCTGAGGAAATGTTAGAATATAGTATTAAGAATCGAGGAATTGAATTTGATTCTTTATATTTACAGTGTAACATTGAATATTTACTGTAAATATCTACAGTAATTTTTTTTACAGCTGTCAGTGAAATACTGTCCATCTATAGTAAGAAACTATATTATGAAATGAAAAGAAATTTACAGTAACCATTACTGTAACTATTGTGTAAAATTTGCATTATATTTTATTTAGATTTACTGTAAAATGTACAGGCAAAATCTCTCAAAAATGTATTTTAACTAAGTTCTTATTTCTGCTAAGACCTGGGATATTTTAGCTCTAACCAGGCTGCAATTGTGTAACCAGGAAATTCATTATAGTTTTCATGTGAAGTCTGTTTTGGTGAAGTTATCAAACTGTTCACTGACAGAGACTTGAGAGCAAAACTGTTTGTGGGAATTGCTGTCCTAAAGCTATCAAAACAATTGTAGTCCTAAGCCATCGTAGCAAAACTGTTTGTATTAATTGAAGTCCAAAGCCATCTTCATGGTTTCTAAGTGGTACCATTCACGGTTATCTCATGTATCTTTAGGCTGTCCGTGTGAGGGCCATACCTATTCATGTTTCTGCATCTCAATGGTAAATGAGGATTGAATCACACTTTATCATGCATGGTGAGTGATGAGACTGTCTCTAAGCCATGTCTAAACTGCAGTGTTGCCTTTTTGCAGGTACATGTGTTCACTGACATTCTTCCACTACTCTGACCTCAGGCTGCCTCCACCAGGAGGTTAAGACTTGGCCGTAGCTAGCATACCTCCAACACAGGAATATGTGTGGGACACAAAATTTGAGGCTCATCAAATATTATTTCTCAGTTTAATAAAGAATGGCAATAATTCTTGAGTTGACTGTATATTCTAACATTCGTATGTGATTCAGAAAAACACACATATCTGTGTCTTTGTAAAAAAAAAAAAAAAAAAAAAAAAATTATGGACTAATTTCTGAATGGATTAATGTTTTGCATGGGTTTTGCATTTTACATATTTATCAAAACTGTTTTTTTAATTGTTGGATGCTATCATTCATAAGAAAATAAGGATATAAACAAGATATGATAATATCATTATAATAAATATAATAAATACACAGACTCATGTACTACACTGGAGAAAATGACAGATATCCACAAGAACATCATGTGGGATTTACTCTCCACCCTATTTATTCATTTGGCTATACATAAAGAAATGTCTTATATAAAATTTTTTTTTTAAATATGTTTATTAGTAAAGTAGAATATATAAAAAATTGATCTCGAATGAGAACGATATCAAATCCCGCCTTCTGAACTTACTGAGTGCGAAGAGTCTCGCGAGATTTCGCGTGAGCCTTCCCTGTTTTCAACATGGCAGGCAGTAAGTTGGTGCTGGAAGGGAGGATAAGTATTACAAGCTTTCTTTTGGGTTTTGGCGTGATTATAATACCCCTGCTTGTAAAGTTTGGCTCCCATGTTGACTGGATATTCGATTACCTCACCGGTGTAAACGGGAAAATAGTCATTGCGCTTTATATTACAGTTATCAACGGCTTCCTGCTAATCATTTACAAGGGACCTCTGTACAAGGTAAGAGTGAGAGCTAAACAGGCTAAGTGTTATATTTACACTCAGTATAATCGGATCAATATCATCACGGCGATGAAGCTGTTTGGTTCTTTTAGAATGTTTTTATTTTCTAGAAAATAAAATCACTTAGTGAGGATCAGCAGATTAACCTGAACTGTCCTGCTGGCAGTGTGTTTAAGTGCATATAATCCACGTTAACTGGATTGGTTAGCTAGCGAGGCATGAAGACACACAGATGTGCTGTTCAGCATGTACTTTGCCTGTGAACAGCTTTTATTCAGATATCTATATATAACTATATCTATATAGTTAGATAGTTAGATATCTCTATCTATATATAATGCATGTGTATCTCTCTCTCTCTCTCTCTCGCTTTATATATATATATTTATAATATATTTCTGAATGTGTGTGTATGTGTGTGTGTGTGTGTGTGTGTGTATATATATATATATATATATATATATATATATATATATATATGTGTGTGTGTATATATATGTATATACACACACACACATAATTATTTTCCTTTGTTTTTCCCCATTAGGTCGCAGTGCGAGCTTGCTTTCTAGGATTTGTCTTCGGATGTGGCTTGATCATAAGTTTTGCAGACACGACATGGACACACTTTGGCTGGTATATAACCCATTCAATTCAATTCAGTTTTATTTTATTTGTATAGTGCTTTTAACAATGGACATTGTCACGAAACAGCTTTACTGAAATATATAAATTCAGGATATAAATTTTAAATGTATAAATTTATCCCTAATGAGCAAGCCAGAGGCGACGGTGGCAAGAAAAACTCCCTGAAACGATATGAGGAAGAAACCTTGAGAGGAACCAGACTCAAAGAGGAACACAGCCTCATCTGGATGACACCAGATAGTGCAATTATAAATAAATCCCTTCTATAACTGTGTGCTATATGGTCATTATAGTTTTCACATGAAGTCTGTTTTGGTGACGTTATCAAACTGTTCACTGATGGAGACTTGAGAGCAAAACTGTTTGTGGGAATTGCAGTCCTAAAGCTATCAAAGCAATTGTAGTCCTAAGCCATCGTAGCAAAACTGTTCATTTCAATTGCATTCCAAAGCCATCTTCATGGTTTCTAAGTGGTACCATCCACAGTTATCTCATGTATCTTTAGGCTGTTTATGTGGGGCCGTCCCTATTCAGGTTTCTGCATCTCAGTGTTAAAAGAGGATTGAATCACACTTTATTTTATTTATCATGCATGGTGAGTGATGAGACTGTCCCTAAGCCATGTCTAAACTGTAGTGTTGCCTTTCTGCAGGTACATGTGTTCACTGACATTCTTCCACTACTCTGAATACCTGGTCACAGCCATCATCAACCCTCGCAGTCTGTCTCTAGACTCCTTCCTGCTCAACCACAGTGTTGAATACACCGTAGCAGCAATCTCTTCCTGGATGGAGTTTATTGTGGAAAAACTGCTAGTTCCAGGTCTGTTTCATCTGAATGATTTGCTATAGTGACTGTGTGTGTGTGTGTAATAATATATATATGTATATAGTATAACATAGTATATATAGTGACAGTGTATAGTATAACAGACAGACATCAGAGGTCATATTCACAGCTCCGACAGAGGGGAGACAAAATTAACGGAAAGACCAACTTTAAAATGTCTTAGTAAGGTGTTGGGCAGCTATAGGATGTTGTTGTTCTTCTTCTTTTAGCTGCTCCCGTTAGGGGTTGCATGTGAAAGTGTGTCCATGTTGCTGGGGTTGGTTCCCTGGCTGGGAATTGAACCCAGGCCTCAGCGGTGAGAGCACCATGGCCTGACCAGTAGTCTTCCATGGACCCACTGGGCCACTACAGGATAACTGTCTTTAAGAAAGTTGCCGCCATATAACAGAATTCATGTGTGACATTAAGATTTTAATTTGAGATTGTCTTAATCTCAAGTGTATTGCAGTGATTGTGGCGTTATTTAGGGTTGCAGTCTCCTCTCTTACTAAGGGCAGTACCAGTTAAAATTCTCGTGAAACTCCAGTAAAACTCTCATGAGCTCACTAGAAAAATGTGGTTTTGCAGCATAGTTGAACTGAAAATATCAGTCGCCTGCGAGTCGCGTTCTATCAAACCATAAATTTCCTCCCCATATCGTCTCTTAGTTCACAAAATATAAAGCTGTGTTTGCTCTAGGGTAAAGTCAATACTCTGATTACATTTTGGTTAAATTAAACACCATCGTGTATTTCTAATCAAAATACAAAAAAAAAAAAAAAATCTGCCAAGAGAAATCACAAACCTGTAATTATAAAAATGATTAAAAGTGTGTTAATTATCTTATAGCTTTCAGTTTAATGTAGGTACAGATTTGCAAAGCTGACGATGATTTGCATAGCCATCTTAATTAGCAAACTAATAATAATAACTAACAGTAACGCAGAGTGCCGGTGTGGCTGCAGTATTTATTCCAATCAAATAGGAATAATAGTCATTTGAGGATCAAGTTCAAGTGGAATTAGGTGTAGCTGCTGCTTAGCTGGATTGAAAACTTGCAGCCACACCGGCACATTGCGGAAATGATTAAAGGCCTCTGCCCTAGAGTAACCTCTGTTTTTGTGTACATGTGAAGGAAATCATGAGAACAATTTGCATGATGTAAAATTGAAGATATTCCCAGCTCATCTGCTACTGTAACCATTTAACAAAATGTGTCTATTCTGTATATTTTTTCATATTGTGATTAATCCTCTGTAACATGTCCCTCTGCAGAGCTGAAGCAGCTGAACTGGGTCTGTTTTGTGGGATTAATAATGGTGTTATGTGGAGAAGGTCTGCGCAAGTCTGCCATGCTGACAGCAGGATCCAACTTCAACCACATAGTGCAGAACGAGAAGGCTCAGAGCCACGTGCTGGTCACCAACGGCGTCTATTCATTTTTCAGACACCCCTCATATGTGGGCTGGTTCTACTGGAGCATCGGTACTCAGGTATGAGGTGGCCAAATAAAGCTTAGGAAATGGCTGTTGGGCCCAAATTCCCATTGAGTAAATAATTGAATATAGTGTAGTTATAAGTAACAATTGATGTTTACTATGTTGTTGTAGGGGTGGACAAATCATAAATTTATTATCTAGCCTCCTGGACAAGTGGAAGCTCCAGTGTACTTCCTAGTCCCATATTTTGCCCAGAAACCTAATCAACTAGGCTAAAAATATTATAACTAACATATTATAATAGTATGGCAGGATAGTTAGCTAGTTAAGTGCAATAATACTGATTAAGGGAAAGAAAAAAGTTGATGATTATTATCCTTTCCTGACAAAGTTTCTAATGTAGCACATTATGTTTGTGCAAAAAAACCATCAGCCAAGTTGTTGGCAAATGTTTGCGGTGTTCTGTCCTTGCATTGCACATAAGATATTATTCAAGTCTGGCTAGCATCTTTATTTTCTCTTAATAAGTTTAACCACGAGGAGACTGTTTTGTTAGCAGGAGAGTTATATAACACTGCACTTAACTTTAAGCTGCACTTTGTTTTGCTTGGATTTGTCAGTGTTTCTACATGCCAGCGTGTTCCTGATTTAGGAAAGGTCGTCTGTCATACATGCACGCTACTTAATCCGTATAGAAAAAACTATCTACAGTCAGCCAGATCACGTCTCAGCCAATGTGTTTAAACGTAGCTGCATATCAAATATTGCAAAAGTCAGTAAAGGACTAAGTTTTTCTTCTTTTTTTATTTGTTGAACTGGGCAACTACGAATTAAAAGCCAATAGCCCAGATACAAAAATCTTGGCCCGGGCTACTGATTTATCCACCCTTACATCAATGTATACTCACCATCCACTTTAATAGGAACACCTGTACACTTGCTCATTTATACAGTTATCTAATAATTCAATCATGTGGCAGCAGCACAATGCATAAAATCATGCAGATACAGGTCAAGAGCTTTAGTTAATGTTCACATCACACATAAGGATCGGGAAAAAGTGTGATCTCTTTGTCTGTAACTTTGGCATGAGTGTTGGTGCCAGATGGGCTGGTTTGAGTGTTTCAGAAACAGCTTATCTCCTGGGGTTTTCACACACAACAGTCTCTAGAGTTTACACAGAATTAACTGAACAGGTGTACAGGTGTTCCTATTAAAGAGGACAGTGAGTGTATTTTCAAATATTAATACTCTCTCTGTAGATAATGCTGTGCAACCCGTTATGCCTCTTGGCCTATACGTTGGCTAGCTGGCGGTTCTTCAAGGAGCGTGTCGAGGAAGAGGAGATCTCTCTTATCCATTTCTTTGGAGAGGATTACATCGAGTACAAAAAGAAAGTCCCCACTGGTTTGCCCTTTATCTCAGGCATCAGGATAAACTCATAAGACTGGGACAAAGAGAGAAACGCGGAAACGTCTAGTGCACTCCTGGACACTTCCTGGACTGGCACTGTGAGTGAACTGGTCACCCGGTGACCTTCTGGCTCACGTTAACGCCAAGGGAAATGAGGGGACACGGTACCGAGAGACTGGCCTGTTGATCTGCTCGGAGACACAACGGTTCACTCTGAGCAGGGTGGAGCCTCTACCTCGACACAATTCAGACCGAAAATTCACACACGGCTATAAAGTCTCTCAGCACTCCCCCGCATTATCAATATTCACTTTGTCTTTTCTCTCATACATCATATAATACTTTTACATCTTCATATACATGTAGACCAGTTTTTGCATCTCTACTTCATGATATAGACCTGTTTTAACACATCCGTACATTTCATGTGTCATTTCTTGTCAGTTCCTTATTAGTTTCAGGGTCTTAATTTTTTGTGGGTTTTTTTTTTAACCTGTTGTAGAACAGGATTTAGAAATTAAAGGTCATGAAACTACAGCGAGGTTGTACAGTATGTTAACTAGGAAAAGTATACTGCAACTCAATATACATTCAACCTGACTTAAACCAAATATACCAGATACTTATACCAGATATTATTTATTTTACAGGAAAGCTTGAGCACTCTCCTAGTAAATACATTAGTATTTTACATATGGTATTTCTTGTATTTCTTATTAGGTAAAAACTCAGATACAAATTGTTCAGTAATGTTTTAGAGTTTTTACCTAGATAAGATCCAACAGTACAGTTGTTCAGTTTGCAGACCTGCCAACCTTAGGAGCACTGCATTTCAACATCGGAGTACACGGATATGAGTTATCACTCAGAAATATGCAAACAGAGCAGTCTTTTTTCCCTAATAAAAATGGTAGATGCACCAATCAGCATGTGAATCTAGGAAAAAAAAATTAACAGTTTTGTAGGTGTTTGAACTCTCTGATATTAACGAAGCCACTGAAAGCCCCGCCCCCCCTTCCCTATCTCATATTAGTAATTCTTGAATTTTTTTCAATTGAAAGATGGCACCTTGCTAAAAGTACTGATAAAATCTATCAGAATTTGTTTGACTTTGCTAACATTATACAAGTAAATAGTTAACATCAGTTAACTATATTTATTAGGGATGCCACTAAAGCTGAAAATAGTCAAAAAAAGGTGCTTTTTTTGGTGAAAAGTGGAAGAAAAAATGGGGGAAAAAATTAAATAGGGCTACGGTGAAATACCAAATTAAAAAAAAAACAAAAAAAAAAACCTACAAATAATTGTAATGGTAATGATAATTAGAATGTGATTAAAAACACTGCGTGCTTTCCAGCACTGGTCAGGGCAGATGTGTTTAAACAGTGTGGTTAAGCTTGTCGCAGGCCCGGAGTGTATGCATATGTGGGGTTGTAGGCGAATCACCAGGCACGTGGGGGGCACAAAAGCTACAGCTTTTCCGTTTTAAGATACAGACACTAGAGAAGTTTATGTGCACGCTTTCTTATTAATTGAAACATCTTTTTCCTATAATTGGAAGAAAGAAAGTAAACTTTTCTATTGGAAAATTTTGTACTTTCCTGCATGTAAACATTTATAGTGTCTATATCTTAACTAAAACAGGCAAGTGGTATCTTTGCCCAGCAAAGCACTGGGTGTAAAATCCATTTAAAAAAAGTATCTGCATACACTCCAGTTTGTATCTTGGAGAAGTGATTTGTGAATGGATTATGTTGAAGATGTTCTGCACCAGGACTACACATTAGTCCTCTTCAGGGATGGCAGGTCTGAATTTGGTATTCTCTTGATGTGTGGATGGACAAAGTGGACTTTTATTACATTTGTAATGTTCCTCTAGGAGTTTTACATTATGATATTTCTAAACTTTGTTTTTGTTGATTTCTCCTAACACTGTTCAGGAAGTTTTGGGCACATGCAGATCTCAATGCTGAATGCTGACAATCTGTAATAAACACTTTTCCTAAATGTTGTGCCATCTTAATGGTGATAAACTTGGCACTGCAGGCAAAATTCAACCATAAGTTGAGTGGGCAGAAGTGTCTGCTAGCTAATTGGATTCTGCATGAAGGGGCCAACTGTAACAGATGTATTTATTGGCACATTGGATACACAAAGTCTATCAGCAAGAGAACCTTATTAGTTCCAACACACATGGACAAGTTTGTGATGTTCTACAACTTCCATGCATTGCATGTATTTTGGTTGGCTTCTGGTTCTGTTCTCATTTGATCATGATGTCAATATTTTCACCAACCCTTCCAGTCCATTTAACTAAATCAAATAATGCATTTGTTTGATTATATACATTCAGCCACATCCAGGGCCATTTATTCATCTTTACATCCTTCATTTTCAACATGAACTAGCTTCAGTGGATGACAGGAAGTAGGATTTGTTGCACTTTTCAATGAATGGCCACCGTAACAGCTTCTATTAATTGTCAAACATAAAAGTTTCATT